ATGGAGATTCCTCAAAAGACTAGGAATAGACTTAACATGTGACCCAGGATTCCTGCTCTGGGCCATATATCCAGAAGGAACCCTACTTCAAAATGACACCTGCACCCCCAATGTTCATAGCAGGACTATTTACAATAGCCAAGACATGGAAACAGCCTAAATGTCCATCAACAGATGACTGGTTAAAGAAGATGTGGAATAGTTATACAATGGAATACTATTCAGCCATAAAATCCGACAACATAACGCCATTTGCAGCAACATGGATGTTCCTGGAGAATGTCATTCTAAGTGAAGTAAGCCAGAAAGAGAAAGAAAAATACCATATGAGATCACTCATATGTGGAATCTAAAAAAAATGATGAACAAACAAAACAGAAATACAAAAGAGAAACAGACTCATACACATAGAATACAAACTTGTGGTTGCCAAGGGGGTGGGGGTGGGAAGGGACAATCTGGTAATTTAAAATGTAGAATAGATAAACAAGATTATACTGTATAGCACAGGGAAATATATACAAGATCTTATGGTAACTCACAGAGAACAATAATGTGACAATGAATTATATACATGTTCATGTATAAGTGAAAAATTGTGCTCTACACTGGAATTTGATACAACATTGTAAAATGATTATAAATCAATAAAAAAAGTTTTTTTAAAAAAAGTCACACAATACCAAGCAACTGGAAGCTACAGGAAAATGAAAGAACAGTTTCAGTTTGAACATGGTTTCCTATATAGAAGAAGAATCATAATAAACAAAGAAGTCTCCACAAAGGATCAGCCTTTTTAGTGGGGTCTCAGAAATTCAAAAGGGCAAATACAGAGTTGCTTAGAAACACACTTGCAATCTAACAAAACCATGAGGTAGCTATGAGTTAAAACATCATAAGCATTTAAACCATTAAGCACTTCAATCTGTAATGGAGTGTTATTATTAAAAGGATTTCATTTTATGTCCAATATAAAAAAACAGAAATGAATAATACAATAACTGAAATGAAAAATACACTAGGAGGAATCAACAGCACACTAAGTCATACTGAGGAACAGATTAGCAAGCAAGAAACATGGTAGTCAAAATCACTGAAGCTGAACAGAAAATAGCATAAAAAGGAATGAGGTCAGTTTAAGAGACCTCTGGTACAATATTAGGCATGTTGCCTTTCATATTATAGAGGTCACATAAGGATAAGAGAGAGAAAATGGGACAGAAAGAAAACATATCTGAAGACATCATAGTTGAAAACGTGCCTAACCTGGGAAAGGAAACAGATATCCATCCAGGAAGCACAGTGTCTCAAACAGGGTCCACCAAAAGAGGACCACACCAAGACACGTTGTGATTACAAGGGGAAAAATAAAGGCAGAATATTAAAAGCAACAAGGGAAAAGCAATGAATTATGAATATGGGAACTGCCATAAGGCTATCAGTTGATTCTTGAGCAGAAAATATTCAGGACAGTAGGGAGTGACACAGTATATTTATGGCAAAAGGAGAAAAACACAACAAGGAATCCTCTACTCAACAGTATAAATTCAGATTTGGTACACAAGCAACAGGTAAGAGTTCAGCATCTCCCAGCAAACTTTACAAGCAAGACTGAAGGGACAGCTCTAAGTGAAAAAGACAAAGCCACAAC